GTGAACGCCAGGCAGGTTAATATTAGAATCGTCAAAGAAAATGATGATAGTCACTACAGAGAGATTTTTTGCATGCAGATACCACATTCTTTGTATTTTCGATAATGTGTAAGTGTGAAATTACCATTTTGACTCGCAAAGTATAAAGACGTTTCATTATCGCGATTTTTGATATTGACATCCGTTCCATTCCTTATTAATTCTTCAATTTTTTGTACATCGCCTACAAGTTTGTACAAATAAACAAGTTCTCATTAAATGAGTATACTTTAAAATCATTTTTTTCGTTATTTCCGACTCACCATTCTTAGCAGCATCATGAAATCTCTTCCATGGTTCTCTGAAGTAAAGGTTTGAGGCCCACAATGGTTATTCAGTTTTTGAAAGGTTTGACAAGTCACTTATACTTACTCGTTAACAGCTCGTCTGAATCGATTTTCTATTAATAATTATAAGATTAATTACATTATATTTCATGAATATTATTTCAATTTACGGTGTCAAACCGATAAAAATGCAAGTATTTTTGGTGTCTGTCCGTCAGTTTAGTGATTTTGAACACCTTTAATTTCAATGTTATTTTTGCATACATATATCAAGATACAGCGACACGTGTAATTGATTTGCATGACATCCATAACGATATATGCCTTAGTCAATAATGTGTGAGCTTTGATTTTCTGAGGGGGTAATTTCGGAAAATGTATCTTATATATTTTTGTATAATGCACATGTTTTCCGATATATTTCATATAGAAAACTCGATTAGATGCGATTTAGGGGCATAATATTGTAGCACTAAAAAAATTTCAAAATTTGACTTTACTGGATGATTAGGAACTACGGATTTTGAGCGACATTGATTGATCGGTGTAAAAGTTTGACTCTGAAGAGGTACTTATGAGAAAAATGCCTTAAAGTGATATTTTCTCAATTTGAACGCTGCAAACATTTAACTTTGCACGGGTTATTTTCTTAAAATTTCGTGAAATTACATAATTTTGGTAAG